GCCTTAGACATTCCAGTTCAACTAGGGTGTGTGCTGCACGCTGGCGGCAGCCACACGAGCCGTCCCTGCCCTCGGGACGCAGGGGACCCGCTCCAGCGGGAGGCGGCACCGCGGAACGAGGCCTCCACATCTGGTCACTTTCGCGGAGATTCTGCCCCGGGAACGGAAACCTGCGGAAGGAATCCTGGTCAAAGCCAAGGTTGGTGGTGGCCAGCCGGCGGGGGAAAGCGGGCAGAGTTGGCGCCTGTCCGTCTCCCTAAGCACCAGCCCGCTGCGCCGCCCCAACACCCAAGAGCCGACACGGGAGGGGTCCCGGCCGAACCGCAGGGCCGTGGCTTGGAGGCTGACAGCCTCGCCAAGCTACCCCACTCGACCCCCGCGCGCTCACTTGGCCCGGAGCGAGCGCAAGCCCCTCACGTCCGAAGGCACTCTTCGCTCGGTGACCCACAGCCCTGGGCCCTGGCGCCAGGCTGCTCCGCCCCTCCCGGGACCTCCCACGCGGGTCACAGAACTGGGGGGAGGTGGCGGGAGAGCTCCTCCAAGGGCGGCGTCGTGACTCGTTGGCCAAGGGCTGGAGGTGCGCGCGAGAATGCGTGCCCGTGTCCCTTCCGACTCTGCCAGTGCGCCTGGATCCAGGCTTCTCCGCGGGGCGATCTCTACGAGGGCTATGGGGCTTGAACTGGGTTCAATGCGATGGCTACTTTGGGGGTTTCGAGGGCGGCTCTCCTGTGCTGACTTCGCGACCCCGCCCCCACTGCTGCAAAGCCTTCAGCCAGGAAGGGCCCAGAACCCCCATCCCCGCCCTGCCCTCTGCTCTCCCCCAGACCATGCTTCGCCGAGAGTTGGAGGTTCTTCCCCGCAAGAAGATCAGGGACGGAGAGGCTGTGGGGGGTGGCGGGTTGGGGGGGCCGCGGGGCTGCGCTGCGGCAGCTCTGGGTTCACTAATCACATCAGCTTGCTCTGCGCCGGCTCCAAGCAGCCAGTTGCCTAGCAATACCCGCGAATTCAATTCCTCAATCAATAGGCGCGAGGCGCTGCATTTCGGGGAGCGCTGGCGAGCCTGGGTGGGCCTGGGGGGCTGGTCCCACGACAGTACTGCGGAGCAGGCAGGAACGCCCTGCGAGCCCGGCTGCGAGGCTCTGGGCCTCAGGCACCAACGACGTCGGGCCTAGGGATGGGGCGCACTTGGGGGAGACCCGCCAGAAGAAAGAAGAACGCAGAAGTCGCACCCATCCTCCCGGGGTCCCCGAGTTGGGCCCGGTCCCAGAGAAGTGCAGGGAGTCGGTGAGGTAAGCCAGGACCTCCCTCCAGGAGGTAAGGAGGGTCAGACTCTGCTCCCCTCCAAGCCCACCTCTCTCTCCTACTAGAGGGAGTCCCTCTGCTTGGGGAAGGACCTTTGGGTGTGAGAGCGTCCCAGGCTATGGGCGCGAGAGTGGGAGGTGGGTGGGTAATGAGAGAGGAGGGAAGGGTCCTCTCCTCCCCGGGCGCCTCTGCCCTGGCTCCAGAGGGGAAAAAAAGGAATAAAGCCGAGACACGTCTCTATTTACAAAGTATATATTTAAACACGTAAAAAGCAGTATTGGATACAGACATTCACGACCGCAGAAGAAAGGTACGGAGCTTCACTCTCGAGCTGAGGCGGAGATCGAGTCAAGATTTGTACAAATCTTAGAATTAAATAAACCCAACACGCGCACGTCCGCGCGGTTGCAGACTCCCAGCCACGCACCCCCGTCCCTGCCCACCCACCCCCCAGGTCAGCGTCGCAAGAGCGAGCGAAGAAGACATAGGGCCACAGACAGACAGCAGGACAGAGGGGCGGTGGAGGCAGAACCGGGCTGGCCGAGGGAGGGAGGGAGGGCAAGCGGCAGCCAGGTGCAGACACGTGTCCCCACGTTACCGTCCACTCGGTAACAGGTCCCTTCAATGAAGTTTCATCTGAAAATAGCGTCGACATTTAAATAGATACACTCAGTCAACGGCGCTTCTTTATACAAAGTCTAAAATACCAGTTTTACAAATGTGAACAGATAAAAATCCCCGTCCCAGGGGCTTCTCTTTATAGGCGCAATTTAATATTCAAAAACAAAATCCTGTAGCACATCGCTTTCCTCTTTGTCGCCCCCTCTTTAAAGGCAAGAAAGTCTGGAGAGAGGCTGAGAAACGGGAGATGGGAATATGGGGAGTGCGGAGGACGAGGCCGGGGTTCCCCCCAGTGCCCCCATAGAGAAGCTCCCCCCTCAGCCGTGGCTCCCCCCGTCGCTGGCCTGGAGTCTGCTTCCTCCAGCGCGCAGGGCCCCCACGTCCCTCCCTGGACGAGTAATGGGAAGTTGGCTCTCCGCTGGCCCTTTAAGGACGGGGGAGGGCGGGGAGGCCGCAGGATCAGTCCTCGAAGTGGGTGGGGGGGGTCTGCAGATTTGTGCTTTTGAATCAAAAGAGGGGCGCGCGTTCTGCGTC